ACAGACGCAAAGGCTCAGGTTGGCTGCAGAATTGGCACCTCATTTACCCACAATCCCTAGGGGGAGATAAGGTTTCGAGAGAGCAGAGGTGCCATCTGGCTCAGCGGTTCTCTCAATGACTGCATCTGTGCCAGTCACCATACTGGGCCTGTTGCAGTTCTTTTCTGATGTTTTTCAAACTCCAAGGCAAGGGGAGAGATCCTGCTCTCCTCTCTGGTCAAGAAGAGACTAAAGATGTAAGCCTGGACTTACTGAAGGCTGTGGGTTGGGCGTGTGGGGATACCTGGTCTGAATGAGAAGGGGGCAGGGGATAAGCCATTCTACATGATACCTTCCAGAGAACTTGACAGAGGTTGGGAACCTAAAAGCCACAAATCTGCTGGTTTTATTCATGTTGATACACAAACCTGTACAGAGTCTTGCATATTTAGGCAAGAAGATGTATCTGGAAATGTTCACTGCAGCATTATTTGGAAAAATAAAAAATCATAGGTAGAAAGGGAGGTGGGCGGGGGGTAGGGGTGACTGGGTGACGGGCACTGAGGGGGCCACTTGATGGGATGAGCACTGGTGTTATGCTGTATGTTGGCAAATTGAACTCCAATAAAAAAATTTTTTTAATTGAAAATAAAAAATCGTCTGTTAACCAGAAAATGGATAAAATGTGGTAGCAGCCTCCTCGTACTCTAACTCTTGTACAGCTGCCTCTCACACTAAACAGGGCTAAGCTGCAAAAATACATTGTGGAAATGACATCGTGTGACTTCCAAAGCTAAGTGAGAAAAGGCATTGTGACTTGCACCTTGCTCTCTCTTGACTCACTTGTTCTGAGAGAAAGCCAGCCACCACGTCACAAGGACACTCAAGCAGTCCCCCCAAGACATCCATGTGGCAAGGGGCTGAGGTCTCCTGACGTCACCATGCCAGTGATTTGAGTGAGTCCTCTTGGAAGCAGGCCCTCCAGCCCCAGTCAAGCCCTCAGATCTACAGCCCCAAGCCAACATCTTTAATGCTATTCTCCAGCCAGAAGAGGGGCATTTGTTAACGAATACAAATGTTATATAATCATACAGTGAAATTTTAATCTATGTTTTATTTATTAAAGAGAGAAAGAGTGAGCATGGTGGGAGGGGCAGAGGGAGGAGAGAATCTCGAGCAGCCTCCCCGCTGAGCACAGAGCCTGAAGTGGGGCTTGATCCCACGACCTGAGCCAAAACCAAGAGTCAGACACCCAACCAACTGTGCCCTGTAGATGCCCCCTATTTTCGACTTTAAACATCTTATTTTTTATAAGCAAGCTCTACACCCGATATGGAGCTCAAACGCACAACACTGAGATCCAGAGCTTACACTGAGTTGTGACTGAGCCAGCCCGGCACCCCTAGTCTGCTCCTCTTCAAAAAGGAGTTAAATAGCCACATCACAGAATGCTACTGAGCTTTGAGAATCTACGTGAGCTTTATGTATTGGGTGCAAAGCGGGCACTCAATGTGCTTACTGCTGTCTTAGGTTTCGTTTCCTTCCCTTGGATTTCCGGTCAGATTTCCCTCATTTGATAAACAGGTATTTTTCCTAGTTTGAATATTGTCACAATATTCTCATCTGGTAAGAGAAGTCCATCTGTTCTCACAGTATAAGCTGGGAAAAAAGGCCCATCTCCTCTCCAGGACTGGCCCAAACCTATCTGCATGCAGGGGTCACAGGAGGTGAGCTTGCCTTAGTGACCTCCACTCCACCTTCCAAGGACCCAACTCGGAGCGATGGGGCCTACTAAGGCACTAATGAAGTAGAACCTACAAAGAAAATGCCAACCAGAGTTCCTGGCACCTCTACCCAGCAACCCTAGGGTCTCAGCAAGATTTTATTTTGGTGTCTGGGTGAAAGAACTTTTTTCTTTTTTCAAGTGACGATGCTAAGCCATAGATTTATATAATCATGAGCATTATCCCTAGGGATAAAATTGACCAGCTCCTCCACTCCTACCGGACAAAATATATATTCCTTGACTTCCGAAAAGCAGGGGGGAAAAGTTCACATTAACACCAAGGACTGCTGCCAGGGCAGCCATCACTTCACCCACCACTTGCCAAGTTGCTTAAATTACTGGCTTATCCAAAATACAGGGAACTTTTCTGTGCCTGCAAGTCTAGTGGAGCATATATTTAAATATCAAAGAAACCAGTGAAATTCAAAGACACTGGAATTAAATGAGGAAAGAAAAGTTGTAAGCCCCAGCTAGACCAAGTCAGTTCAGTACCCCACATTCTGGTGAGAACCAGCCCCTTGCCCCCCACCCCGCCCCCGGGATTCTGGGGTCTGTTTCCCAGTTAATACCCAGGGTGAACTGTTGGCATTGAAACACACCTGAAAGCTAGGAAGCTAATAAGCAGAGCCAACATTGAAGAGACCAGGAACAAAACAACAAAAAAAGAAGACATTTGTTGGCAGTCTTATTATTCCCCACATCAATTTCTCATACCACTTCTTCACAGATCTGAAGTGTCAACAACTGCCTTTCCCCATCCCAAAGGATTTCAGATTTAGGCAAGTCCGCAAATGGCTTCAGACTTAGGCAGGTCCGCAAATACTGCACCTTATACAGTGGTTCTGTGTGGGGGTTTCAGGCTATCCTTTGAGAGCCTGGCACAGAACAAGGTCCCCTTTCACTTGACCCTCCTTTGCTAACACAAGGCTGTTTGGCTGGGCCCAGCACCCCATGGGGCAAATGTTCAGGCCAAGAATAGTCTTCATTCTTCCTGTGAAGCTTTGAAAGACTTCTAAAGAACACAGGAAATTGTCAACCCTTATTTTCTGTTGAAAACGGCTGACACTAAACTTTGAACATTCTATGGATTAATCCCAAATCATGGGAACCAATTTGCTTGAAAAGAAGCAATTTTTTCAGCCATGTCAGAGATGAGATACTCCGATAAACCATCTCAGCATTACTTGCAAAGAATGACATATTTTATAACTCCCATTACTGGCACTGTAAAAAAAAAAAAAAACAAAACACCCTGCTTTTCACCAAAATTGATTTCCATGGTATGCCCTATTGTTAAAACATACTTCACTTTGTAACCTCAAAAAGCTTTCCGTGTCTACAAATAAGCAGCTCTAGAGACTTACCAAAGCACCATGCGAACTTACTAAAAATGCACCGTCACTTTAAGTTGGGGAAAACCAATACTTTGTCGTGGGCCTAGCATCACTGCTTCCATCAGGCGCCAAGGATAATCTCTCAAGGTCCAGATACCTTCACACGTGCAGTCAGACTGTAATCTTCACTCTGAACCAACAAGGAAGACATGGGCCCTAATTTATAGCTCAGGAAGCAAATGCTCAGAAAGGAAAAGTAATGTGCCCAATTCACACAGAGATGGGATTTGAACATAGGGGATTAGCTTGTTCAGAGTTTTCCAGGACACGCCAGGTGGTCACATGGCATAAGACTGAAGCACACAAACCTTGGTGTCATCACCAAGACTGGTTCAAACTCTAGCTCTGCCAGTTATCTAGGTAAGTCACTGAACACCTTCAAACCCGTTTCCAGGTCTGTAAAAGGAAGATACTGGTGTCTATTGAGGATTAAATGAAGATAATGCACAACTAGTTAACTTACCATCTGGAACATAGTTAAGTGTTCAATACATGGATAATTATTATTATAAAGGAGTAGGGAAAATGTCCTGAATGAAACACAGGGACTTTTTTACATTTGCAAGCTTTTTATTAGAAAGGACTTCAATTTACTGGAGTGGCAGACAATAATTGTTCCTTTTGCATCAAATAGGATACCACAGCAGTCTTCACTAAGACATCTTTGGGGAGTCAACAAAAATTACTAATGATCTATATATACTACCTAGATCAATGTCTTCCAAAGTGGATTGAGCTAGATAATTTAATTCACTGGGGCTTGAGAAGAGTGCTACACTTTTTTCCTTCCACTTAAAAATTGTTTCATAATATTCACAGTAACATAGTAGTAGTACATGCATACAATTTATTATACAATTGTTAAAATGGATACATGCTGAAAAATATTTAATAAGGAAACAGAATAAAGTTTGGATAGTGATCTAGATGACTTGCTAAGTCAACATTCTGCTCTTGCTGCATTATCAAGCTATCTTATACTCTTTGTTCTTTCTTTTTTCTCACCTACTATGCACTGACCTCCACATTCCTAGGTCAGCTTCTCCAAGAGGATAAAAGGCACGAGAGGTGGGGAAAGGGGATGGTGGTGCTCACAATGTGCAGATGGTGGCATGACAGCAAACTAATGAGTCTGAGATGCAGGAACCTCTATGTATCTTCAGCTTTCAAGAGTATGACCTAAGCTACATAGAAATAAGCCATATGTTCCATCAATTCATCTATCAACTTCCCTGATTAGTTGTGAACTTGATAAGGAGACCAGCAGATACTCATTCCACTAGGTGGCAGTAAAGCCCTACTGCTGTGGTGCCCAAACCAGTTACTGGGATTCGTCCTGACAATCCTGCACACTTAGATAGTGGTTACCAAGTTACTTCAATCACTTTATGCTTCTGGACAATGGAGACTGGGCATTGCATGTTTTGCCATTTACAAACTGGCCTTTCCTTATGCTTTCCTGAATGTTACATGTATTATGAATGATCATATAGCAGTTCTCAGAAATCCATAGGCCATATAGCAAAAGTAGCCCTCAATATGCTTGAAAAGCCTGGAGAAAGAAGAAAGAAAGAAAATGGAAAGAAAAGAAAGAAGAGAAAGAGAAAGAAAGAAAAAGAAGGAAGGGAGGAAGGAAGGAAGGAAGGAAGGAAGGAAGGAAGGAAGGAAGGAAAGAAGAAGAAGAAGAAGAAGAAGAAGAAGAAGAAGAAGAAGAAGAAGAAGAAAGAAAGAAAGAAAAAGAAAGAAAGAAAGAAAGAAAGAAAGAAAGAAAGAAAGAAAGAAAGAAAGAAAGAAAGAAAGAAAGAAAGAAAAAAGAAAGGCAGGCCTAGAGTCAATAGTCATGAGACCCAGGAAGTTTGCATAGGTCCCCATCAGATTCAAGTAAAACCTTAGGTATGACATGGATGAGGATTTGTGCAAGTTTTTATTAGGGTAGTAGAATAAAGGTGATTTACAAACTTACCACAATATACAGGATTTTTAAGTGGTTAACTATGAGGATTTATTTCTAGGAGTAATACTTCACTAATTAGGTAATCTCTATAAAGTTTTCCATTTTGCATTCTCCAAATTCAATTGGTTAACTCCCTAAAACCAAAACTTTCTGGTTACAGGTGTGTTAACCCAATCTCTCTCTTAACATAAGAACCAAAGCAAAACAAAAACAACAAAACAACAACACCCTGCATATTTTACCTAGTTATTCTGGAACACCTGCTTCTAGTCTTGGACTAACAGGCAATTTATTTTTAAAAAGCCATTCCTATCATGTCATGTTCTCCATACTATTAGAAGGCATTTTAGGATTAACAAAACTTTTCCAAGACAATTTTTAGTGATGGCCACCAAATAAGAGTAAATGTTTACTGTGGTATTACCAAATCATGTTTTTAATGCCTTATGAGATCTACTTTAAATATAGCAACCTGGAGTGAACTTACATATGAAGTCAAGATACTGGAACATGAATAATCTAGGTTTTACATTTTAGATCTGTGTATCTTTGAAAAGCAATAAGGATCTTTCAAGCATACGAACTTATTTAAACCCTTCAGCCTATGAAGCCAACAAAAATAAGAATTAGCAGTTACTTCCTTCTGCTTGGGATCATTAATTTTAAAAAGTAATAAACATGGTGAAGCTAAGGTAATGAACTGGGTTGCATTAATTACACTTAAAATGCCATAAAGCATTATGTTAAAATGTACATCATTTGACCTAGTGAAATTATACTTCTGTGAGATGATTCAGTTTCCAGGGACTTGAGAGTTTACCTAATATGAATGAGTCGGGATTTTTCTCAGAGGAATAACAAATTAACGAGATAGTATGCGTAGAGATACTGTAGATCTCATAAATTAGAAACCAATACATAACCATTTCAAATGAAATAAACATGCAAAAGAAGAGTTACAATTGTGGATGATGCAAATTCATGATAAAAAGTTTCTTCCCATATTCTAGCCTTGTATATTAGCCGTAGAATATTTAAGAGCCCACACTCTATTACATCACAACATTGTTTATTATGTGAATTTTTTACAATACAAACAAAAAAAATACAGAAATGCAATATATGAATACAGCTAAATGCAGAATGGTGACTTTTTTTTCTTTTCAAGAGGCCATGATTCCCATTTCTAGTAAAATAAAGAGACGGCACATAGGTAGAAATAGGTTGGTCGTTAGCTTCACAATTTTGCCTAGAAATGATCTATAAATGCATTTTTCCCCCTGCTACTTACCATAACGTGTAAAAAGGGAATTAAAGGAAAGTTTCCTTTTTGGTTCCTACCATATGAAAGATGCTATATTCTATTTTAGCAGGGCCAATATATGGAAAATACCTAAATAAAATGTTATTACAAAAATGAAGCAGTAATGAGATTCTGGCTAAAGAGGGCACTAAATGAGAATAACATATATTTAAAGAATCCAAAACAAACAAATAAACAAAAAAAAGGTTGTTATAAAAAAGCTCTAGGTGCATTGTAAGCATATAGGATTTTTTTTCCATGTGTATTTTTAAACAATGGAAGTGTCAAAAAATAGGGTCAACTGTGTTAGACTAAATTACATTATTGTATACGCTGCACTGAATGGAACCTTTGTATTATAATTATCATAGAGAAGCATAGTTTGCATCATATTATGGCAATTTATCCTCAATGAAAACCTTCCAGAGTCCTTTTATTTTTGGAATATCCTGTAAACAATCCAACCACCAGAACATGATTGTACAACAGTAAAATGTTTTCTTGCATTAAATTGAAGACATCTGTTTAATAATAAAAAAAAAAAAAGAAAGAAAGAAAGAAAGAAAATGTAGGAAAGGTACTTAGAGCTGTTAGTTTCTAAGTACACAACACCCTAGACAATTCAAGGCATCTTAATCTCCATCAAGAACAAAAAAATAATAATAATTTTTGTCATGCTGTTAAATCCATCATTAAGGATAAAACTGGTGCAAATTGGTCAAACGGATCCAACAAACACTGATGTCCAAGCTGGCATATTGGCAACTAATACGTAACTGGTGGTCAATAGAGGATTTAAAAGATCTTCCCTTTCTTCTTGTTCTTTTCCAAGGTTCTAAATAGTTAAAGGAAAATAATCAAAATGAGTAGCCATGTTATAAATATAAACATTACAGACAACATATGATAGCAATGGCTAATCCAACTACAACTATGTTTTAGCTCTTCAAACTACTATTTTTATTTAAAATATTAAAAGGGGCACCTGAGTGGCTCAGCTGGTTAAAGCGTCAGACTCTTGATTTCGGCTCAGGTCATGCATGATTTCAGGGTCCTGAGATCAAGCCCCGCATCTGGCTCCAGGCAGGGTGTGGAGCATGGTTAAGATTCTCTTTCTCCTTCTGCCCCCCCTCCCCCTCCACCCGACTCTCTTTCTCAAAAATAAATAAATACATACATACATAAAATTTAAAGAAATAAAAAAATTGTATGATTTAGATGAATAATGAGGACAATGCAAATCTGTATTAAGACAATCAAATAGTTGACCAAATTTCAGGATAAACCATAAAAATGACAAAAACCCATTTTTAACATATGAGAACAATTCTTCCCAAATGAAACAGTACAAATTAAAAAAAGATCAACTGACATCAGTATCCTTTTCTTTTACTACCATTTGCATTCTGAATTACGTTTGCTTTAATCAATGCATTTTCCTCTTTGCTGGGGAAAAGTTTAATAGGAGGAGTCATATAGAACAAATATCTGGGCAGTCCCAGGTGGTTCAGTGGTTTGGCGCTGCCTTCGGCCCAGGGCGTGATCCTGGAAATCCAGGATCGATTTCCATGTCAGGCTCCCTACAGGGAGCCTGCTTCTCCCTCTGCCTGTGTCTGTGCCCCCTCTCTGTGTCTGTCATGAATACATAGATAAAATCTTTTAAAAATATATTTAAAAACAAACAAACAAATATCTAACCCTGGAAATTAAATTTAACAGTGAGGGTAAACTGTAGCATTCTTACAAAGATACAACTTTTCGGTTTTCGATGGGACTAACAAGGAAAAGAACAAAGGCAAGGTACAAATATTATTGACTTTGTGTAAATTAACAAGTAACTGATCAGTTGTATTTGGAATTAGATATCCAAAATTTTATCTTAAGGGTTTTATCCTAAAGAATGAATTCAACATCTAATAATACCCCTAAAATGTATAAAAGATCTTTGTAGCAGTGTTTTCTATGCTTGCCAATGATCAAACACAATTGTTAAGTCCAACAATTGAGGGAAGGAGATAAGCAATTGATTATAGTGAGTCAACTGGGGAGAATGCCATGAAGCTATGAAATTATAATTGTGAAGACTGTTAACTCATGGAAAATGTTAGTAATGAAAAGAAATACTGTTAAAGTAGATAGACTGCATCCATCTATATAAAAATATTCATCCATGAAATTAATTGTGCTTGTGTGATAATGAGTAAAGTTTTCTAAAATGTTAATGTTTTTAAAATAAATAAGACAATAATTCCTTAAAACATTAATGCATACATTTCATAGGAATCTGATATTAATTACCTGGAAGAGTTCTGTTGTTCTAAAATACGTTGTTGGGCTTCCCAGTTTGCTTTCTCATCTTCAAACTGACGACGTTTTTCCTCTAATTCTTTGTGCTGTGCTTCCAAATTCTTTTTCATTTGCTCATGGCGCCTCTGGAGCTAAATCACAGCACAATACATAAAATAAAACCGTTTAAGAAACCAGAAGCAGAGGTTTGTTTCACCCACACATCCTAATGTTAAAAGTGTAAGCACTGAGTTCTTGTACCACCTAGAATGCACTGTCTAGGATTTCTCCTCCTCTAGGACTTGCCACCCAAAAGGCCAGTGACCAAGAGAATAATCTTGGGAAATGGGAGGAAAACATGCAATAAGTTTATAGTTGTATTGCACTTTACAATGGACATATATCCTATCTTATTTATCATTTTATTTTTCATTACTCATAAGCATGCAGAAACAAGGCAAGGAAGGCATCACTGTCCTCACTGTATAGATGCACAGAGTTTATTACATCACTTGCTCAAGATCATCAGCCAGAAAATTGAAGAACCAGGATTTGAACCAGTCTCCTAATTCCAAGTTTAGAAAAAGCTAAGACAAGTAGAAAAGAAAGCAGGTAGATAAAGACTTAAAGAGCTCCAAGACCACAGTAAGCTTCCCTGATTTGTATGAAGCAGTGGTTTCTCAAATGCTAAGTCTTCATATAAATCACCAGGAGTGTTTGTTCAAAATATACAGAACCATGGACCTCATCCAGACATACTGAATTAGAACCTTTGACTATTAAGACTAGAAATCTGCATTTTCAACAAGCCCCAGGGATTCCAATGCAGGTGTTTTTCCTACAGTGAGAATTAATGCCGTAAAGAATGCTGGTTAAGAAGTAGAAACACTCATGGCAAAGTAACTGCAGAAACAAAGAGCTTATCTAATGGTTCATTAAATAGTTTCATTTAGGCACTAGTCAATCTGTTTTTGAAGAAAATAGTCACACGAGTAAAAAAAAATCAGATTGAATCTAAATACACTTAATATCTAAAAACTATTCAAAACCTTCAGATTCCCAGGAATAGTGTAATGATCATAATACTGATTCAGTGAGTTAACATCTTGAATTTGGATTATAATAAAATTTTGCACATAATTTGTTTTCTCAATTATTTTGTAAACCAAAGAGTGACTTCATATTTATTCCTACTGCAAATATTACATGCAATTCCTACAAAACTAAACCATCTAAGATAAATTTAAGCAAATATGAGTCAAATCTGAGATATCATCTTCCTGACTATAGCAATTAAGTTACAAAAAAAATCAGAAAATAGGAACACAGAAAAATGTGCCTCGTTATTTAAAAAAATGCAAGGGAATCATAAACATACAATTCACAATAGCTACCTCGGAGAAAGAAAAAGAGAACTACCATAGGGAAGAGGCACACAGGGGCTTACATAAACTAATTAGGTCTTATTTTTTAAGCTGAGTAGTAAGTTCACAGTTGTTCATCATTCTTCATCTGTATATTTATAAGTATCTTTTGTACTAACTGCATGTAGGTAAAGGTACAAGTCACAAGCTTTCTCAAGGAACCCTTGGGGTTAGATGTCTCCCAAAATTCGGACTTTTTCAGATTTTAGAAAGGCAGCATTACTTAGAAAGGTGTATATACTATATTTACAAAACACCTCCTGGGCTGTCTAGGGTAGCATTGACCTTAGCATCAAACACATCACTACTTTTTACGGCAAATTTTATAAATAGTCATAGTAAGTGGAATAAAACTATTAGCTCAATGTCCGGTTTTGCTGTTTTCGAGCTTGTTAGGATTTAGGATTTGAAACTGTGGATACATGATTTTGCACTTGTCCAGTGATTAACAGTGAACTTTAAAAGAGTTAAGTGGATGCAACTTACAACTATATGCAGCACTGACCAAATTAATTTATCCTTCCTCCCATGTAAAAAAAAAAAGGGGAGATGGACAGTAATATCTACCTCATGAGGTTATAGTGCAGATTTAATGACACAATACATTAAAGACGCTTATTAGTACACTACTGTGCTGCTGGTTATTTAGCAGCTGTGCCCTACCTAAAACAACCATTTCTAGAACTAATGAACTTGAGAAAAAACTGTATTAATAAGCAAGGTTAAATAGGTTTCTTCCCCTATATATTTATATACTTATATGGCGACAGTATTAGGAGAAACTTGGCCAGATCTCTTTAAAGGTTCTTTCAATGCTAAGATTTCATCCTTCAAAGAATAAAGTTCCTCAAAACTCTGTTTTCACCACATTCAGAGAAATCATAAAAATCCTGTTACATACAGGGTTTCATAATTATTTGTTTATAATATTTACTCTTAAGAGCAGGTTCTAAAATACGTCTAAAGCAAATGCAAATTCAACTGCTTTTAGATTTTCAACAAAATCTAAGTGTGGAGGTAATACGGGCTCATTTCTGTTTTTTATTCCCCTTCTGTTACAGATTTTTCAGATTATTTACTAGATCTTGAAAGAGCAGAAACTCAAATACAGTTAATAATAAAAGGTTGATAAATAAAAGGACTAAACTTAATCTCCAAAATGTCATCTTATAACAGATGCTAAGGATGCTATTCCTGGCAGTGCTTTGCAGTCTCAAACTAGAAGGAACTATTCCATTTCTCTGCTGAATTAAGCTTATGACAAATATAATAACAAAGTGGTTGTTTTATTTCTTTTTTAGTAAGAGATCACATGTAATGTCTAGTAATTTAAGAGTAATCTAATGTGGAATATAAACATTTCTTCAAAATTACTCAATATTTTACTCTCTTCATGCATGCCATTTAGCGGATTTAGTCAAAGAGGGTTTCAGTCTTTTATGCAGTAATTATAAAAGCAATGAGATTAACTATAGGGTGTAAAGAAAATAAATCTGAATCCCTTTTTAATATATTTAGATACACGTATTAGTGGAGCCTCATATACAGAAGGGTCTCACTGAATTTTAAGGTTGTCATTTTAAAAATATTTCACATTAGTATCTATCAAACCAACTATTACTTGATAGATTCTCATGTTAGGGTTTTCCTCCACCTTTCACTTCTTGAAGAAGTGTAAGGAAATGTCTTCAAGGTCTTTTTTTTTTCCGTTTTTTTTTTTTAATTTATTTATTCATTATAGACGGGGGGGGGGGGGGGCAGAGACACAGGAGGAGGAGGAGGGAGAAGCAGGCTCCATGCTGGGAGCCTGATGCAGACTCGATCCTGGGACTCCAGGATCACGCCCTGGGCCAAAGGCAGGTGCCAAACTGCTAAGCCACCCAGGGATCCCCTTCAAGGTCTTTTTGATTAACAGAAACTAAATATATACCTCAACATCTACAGGGATTCCAAGGTAGTAGATAAGCTTGCTGGGATGTTTTGTCACTATTCTACCCGTTTTCTAACACTGGCAATTACTCTGACACTTTATTACAAATAAGCCCAACTCATTTAGAAGAATATCACATTTCTTCATTTTCTCCCCTTTGGCTGTGTATAATTATCCTGACAAGCCCTTAGTTCAGTTAAAGTTCTTTCTTTCATTCTCTCATTCATACGCAAGTAACTCTGGGTTATTATTATTATTCTAGTACTAGTTGTTATTCTTCTATTCATTCAAAACTCCGATCTTTTCTCACATTGAATATATGGAATAGCTTAGAATTTCATTTCTCACAGTTTGCTCATTAAAACTGATAATTCATTATAAGTATTTGGTCTTCCTTCCAAGTAGATATATGTCTAAACATTTACATATTGAAGTATATATGATTATAAAACAAAGCGCTTCCTTTTATTTCTCCATTTTACTACATTAGGGTATTATATTAAACTTGAAAAAAAATATGTGTAAAAGGGTTTTTTATCTATACTATTAAAGATATTATTTTAAAATGAAATAACGTGTCTATAAGATGTGAAAATGGTAGGCTGATTACCTCAGCTTCTGAATCCTTCAGTTTCTGAACTTTTTCTTTGACCTTCATCTCAAACACCTGTTCCATCTCCATCTCCATCTTCTTCATCTTAGCTACATGCTCCCTTCTTTCTTCTTCCATTTGTGCAAGAGGACTCCTGTTGTGAACATTAATAAATAATCATCAATCTAAAAATGAACATATACTACAAAACTCTGAAAAAGTTATAAAAACAAATATCTATATGTCATTACTAAATTCTGACACCATCTTAAATGACAGAGCACAGAGTTGAAGTTTTATGTAATGCATTAAAAATTCTTTAGAAGCTTCACATTTATAAAATATTTATAATCTAGAATTTCCTTCCATGAAGTTTTGTATTTAAACTTGAATCTCTAATGAATAATTATTATGAAACTAGATAAAAAAAACAGCAGGATGTTTCTCTTATCCTAGTGCCTATCAAATCTTTTTTTTTTTTATTTTAATTTATTTATGATAGTCACACACAGAGAGAGAGAGGCAGAGACACAGGCAGAGGGAGAAGCAGGCTCCATGCACCGGGAGCCCGACGTGGGACTCGATCCCGGGTCTCCAGGATCACGCCCTGGGCCAAAGGCAGGCGTTAAACCGCAGCGCCACCAAGGGATCCCGTGCCTATCAAATCTAAAGATGACACATAAACTAGAAAGAAAATGAAAAAGGAAACATCCCCAAATTATTGTCACAAAATGGAAAATGAGAAGAAAATTATTTAATTTTATAGTTTAAAATTTTAATGTCAAAAAAGGAACTGAGCTAATGATGTTAATATATGTAGAATATTTTCAGTTCTATAAATTTCTAAGTGTTATAATCTCTTCTATGATAACTACTGACATCACAATTATAAGTTAATTAACACTAATTCAAACTTATTTTAGTAACTGAATTACCATATTGGAAATGACGGCCAGTCAATTTCTAGAACATTTTTCACTTAGGTATGTAGAGTATTTCTAGGGCACTTATGGTAAATTCACTGATCATGAAAATTCATTCCATTTAATTAAAATATTTCACTGTCTTAATTTTTTGTCTTATTTTAAAAAGATGTTTGGTGATAAAACATATACAAAGATGATACACATGAGAGAGAATCAGAAGCAAAATACCTTGGTAATTATTTTTGAAATGCCAGGAAACAGACACAACCATAGTTAAATGGAAGTATTTCACTCTACTGACATTAAAGCCCACAGGCTCAAATCTCTGCAAAATTTTCATGTTGAAAAATATTGTAAATGAGTTTTATCTTAAGGCTAGTATTTTTATAGATACAAGTGAATGTCAAAATATCAATAACTCACTACAGTCCCAGAGAGGAAAGAAACGTGCACTGTGTGACTTTGAGACTCTCTGAAAACTATTCAACACACAGGACAACTTAAGAGAGACAGGCTCTCTTCTTACTTGATAAAACATGTTTACTTGCCTCCACATAACCAGGCTTTTAACCACTGAATTTCACTTTTTAAATTGGTGAATTTTATCTCAGTAAAGCACTTCAAGAAATTAAATCATAGCTTACAAACAAGTTCAAAATCAGGCCTTGGATTTCACCTATAACGTTAGGGTTAGTCAGTTTAATCATGATATGACACACTTTGACTATAGCAGTCGTCTTCTTTCTGAAGGAGGTTGAGTACTTTTACAGCAATCTTCTTCCCTCTCAAGGAGGACAAAAGAATCAGATGGAATATATTAAAAAGAGCAATAGGATAGAACATTGGCTACTGATTTTTCTTAGCAAAAAGGGAAGAGGAAGACATAAAGTACTGCTGTGATCAAGATGTTTTTGCAATAAGTATAAATTCAAATAAAATGTTAACTAAAGGATATTTCTTCACCAAAAGTAAACTTACAAACCTGTAGTATATTTTAACCATCAGAAGTTCTGACACTAAACCAAATATTCACTTAGAACAAAACCCTGCATTCAAAAAGTGAAGTCAATTGAAATAAATTTTTAAGTGTAAATATCATTATTTCATTAAAAGTTAGGGCCCTTCCTGATAATATAGTTCTCATCTCTATGGCAGGTGTTTTTAACATAGGGGCTTCTGATCTCTTTGGGCAGGGTGCCAATGAATCCAGTGAAATGGCAAACCAAATGCGTGTGTCCATGCAAACATTTTTGGTGAGAGGGTCCAAAGCTTTTGTTAGATTTTCAGAGTCTGTAAACCTCACTTCTCCCACCCAAAACATTTTAGATTCTAGAAAAGAAACAATATTTTTTAGTTGACAGTCTTAACTGAATATGTATGTTTAAGCAAGAGAGATTAGCCTACAGTATTGCTGCAATTTGAAAACATACCTTGAAACTATAAATATATTAAATAAATTAGAAACTGAGTGATTTTAAAGTGACATATATATTCTTACTTATAATAACCCAACTATAAAATGCTCAATTAATTTTATCCTTAGAAGGAAGAGGGCAATTCAAGTAAATTTAAAGAATTTATCATATAATCTGTACATGAAAAGGCTACCAACTAACCAAAAGCAAACAGCGTCATCTCTGATTTTTTTTTTTAAAGATTTTATTTATTTACTCATGAGAGACAGAGAGAGAGAGAGAGACAGAGAGACAGAGACACAGGCAGCGGGAGAAGCAGGCTCCATGAAGGGAGCCCAACGCAGGACTTGATCCCAGGTCCCCAGGATCACACCCTGGGTCGAAGGCGGTGCTAAACCACTGAGCCACCCGGGCTGCCCGTCATCTCTGACTTTTATTTAAATAACTCGAGGAGGAAAATAGAAGATTCCAGACAAACATGCCATGCTTTGACATTTGCTTTTAAATTCAAAATTTAAATATTAAAAATCTCTACATTCTAAAGCTGCTTATGTCTTTGGAAAAACGAATACCACTTACATGCTTTCAACTGTGTAATATCTAAAAGAACAAAAGATAGAAACTTAGAACACTTACAGTAAACCACACTAAAAGCAACAAAGGCAAATTCAGAGGTTTCACCATAAGTAAGTACCCTGAAACATAAGTTCATGACAAAATCTGTTAAAGCTAATTTCTTTCCCAAAATTCTGTTAGTAATTACTATACCAAATCATTATGAAAATAAACATGCTGTGCAATTATGTTCTGACAGTCTGCTTGAATTTCTAGACCTATTTAAATATGTGTACTTTCAAAAAATTTTTGCAATACTTTCTATTGAGATACTTTAAGTTTTCCAGCCTTGTAAAAATACTTGACTTCTGACCAAATGAAATGATATTTAGCGTTATTTAAAAAGTTCGTATATATATCTAACATGGATTTTTGAAGCTCCTCATCAGTAAAAAATGATCTTTCAAATCTCTTTAATTTTTAAATTAGCACCTCATTTCTGGTCATCTTTATTAACGTGATATTTAGAAAACTGTAATACAAAATTGTGCTTACAATGTAGAAAACACAAGAAGGAGGATCACTTTTTCATCACATTAAGTATTTTTTTTCCAAATAAAACCTTTTTTAGATGGCTGGAAAAGCTATTTAAATTATATTATAGCCTAGCTGCTTTTTAATGGAAACTCTTCTTTACATATATAGATATGCTAAAGCTTATACCCTTAAACTTGTCAGAGAAATTTAAAGTAACTTGGCCAAAGAAATGAAAAGGCCTGGTAAAAGATTAAAAAGAAAAAAAAAAAAACGGTGTAACGTAACCTGCATGTCTTGCTACATACACAAAGATTTAATGTAACTCCTTCTAGGGATCTCTTTAAAGGGTTATACCTCCTGAAAGTCACCAGTTGACTCACCCTTTCATGTGACAAACAGCAAAATCACAGCAAGGACCACACAAGCCTGACCTAGTAAGGTCTAGTGTGGTTGTGTTACACAACCCACATTTTGAGTATAACAGAAGACCACCACATTTCATTTATATTATTTGTGGTCTTTCCTGAAAAATATATTAAATAAATACATTCATACACTTTTGTTCCAATGGTTAGTAGGCCATTATGTACACAGACATGTAGCAATTTTCATACTAAAATTTTCAAAGGAATTTCATTTAAATTGATTTCAAAGAGCAATAAAAATTTCCAAAAATTTTGGGAAACAACAATTACGAACACATCATTTTGCCAAGTGGGAGCATTATACTCAAACATAAAACAATACTATCATTATATTTTAGTGAAAGGACAGTTGAATAAACAGTAAAAGATACAACTTGAATAAATGTAATTTAAAAAAAAAAAAAACTTTGGAAAACTTCAGAAAATTGTCTTTATTTCTCTTCCAATGAAAACTGTCGTGTACCAAAAGAGTTCTAAGACTCAGCCTTTGGAAACTTGTATTTTTAATAATTTCTAGGAGTTTGGTTATCCATAAAGTTTTCCCAAGCTTACAGATGGAGATGGCTACAGAAAACAGAAAAATAACTATGGGAAATGGGTAACAGGGTATGCCCAACTTGGAACAAGATATCAACTGTTATAACTGGTGGCTATGATAGACAACGGTTCATAAAAAGAGTCACTGATCAAGAGTCATCAGTTATTTTAAGTAAAACATACAAAAGAAGACCAAGGAAGGAGGAACTTGAAAAAGCAGATTTATCAAAAATAATAATAATAATAAAATAATAAAAGAAAGAAAGAAGTTAACCTTCCCCTTATTGGGGGATCACCTTTCTTAAAGAGATCTGCCATCTGGATGTGGCTAATTCTTCCTTTTCCTTTACAACTCCTTGATGAATTTTCTTTGATCTGGAACTTGACCTCCCTTTCTGTTACTTCCAATTGCCTACAACCTTCCACTCTCCAGTCAGGGGTGAACAAGATACACTCTCCCTGAGGATTTAAAAAGTATTTAAAATAGATGACTTGATATTTTCTTTGCCAGATACAGGCAATACCTGAATAGTTGCTAGGGATAATGCCCATTTTTCCTGACTTTGGCCTTGAAGCAAATTACTATTTCATGAGATAAGCTCCGCTACTTTTTCAGATTCTAGCCACATAATCTAAATATTGGTTTTGTCCCAGCTTTACGGAGATAAAACTGACATGTAATATTGTATAAATTTAAGATGTACAATGTGATGTCTAAATCTGGTTTTAGGTCATTCCAAAATATAATCATTCTAGGGTGACTAACAGAAAGGCACGTTTTCAGATATACAACCCAAATATTTTTAACCACTGGTCAGTACATTCTACAGTCCATCCAAAACAGCCTCAGAGGGATGGCTGGGTGGCTCAGTGGTTAAGCATCTGCCTTTGGCTCAGGGTGTGATGCTGGTCCCGGAATCGAATCCCACATCAGGCTTCCTGCAAGGAATCTGCTTCTCCCTGTCTGTGTGTCTCTGCCTCTCTCTCTCTTCTCTCATGAATAAATAAATAAAATCTTTTTTTTTTAATAAATAAAATCTTAAAAAAAAAAAAACTGCCTCAGGGGATCCCTGGGTGGCGCAGCGGTTTGGCGCCTGCCTTTGGCCCAGGGCACGATCCTGCAGACCCGGGATCGAATCCCACGTCGGGCTCCCGGTGCATGGAGCCTGCTTCTCCCTCTGCCTGTGTCTCTGCCTCTCTCTCTCTCTCTCTCTCTGTGACTATCATAAAAAAAAAAAAAAAACTGCCTCAGAAAATTAAATATAAGATTAATTAACCCACTTTACTACCTAATGCTTAATGAAATAGCTTATATTCTAAAACTAAATTGTAATTAGCACTTTGTGGAGAATACACTGCCATATAAAGGTTAATAAAACTGTAAATTTTAACAGATTTGTATTTGTATAAATATTGTATGAAGGCAATGAAAAAAACATAGGTCCAGTAGCAATCAGCAGATAAATGACCTTACTATCAATTTTATTTCTTCCTCATATTGCCTACTATTGATGCTACTAAAATGCTATTTAGAGACAATCCAAAGTGATAAAGTGATAAAATGACCACTTTTCTTAAGAACCAAAGAGATTATCCAGTTCCATGATCTTCAAACTGGGCTCTCTATATGAAGCCTTCCAAGAGTTACTTGAGACAGTGCAGTATTAAGAGAATCAATTCCTAGATCTTCAACTTCCATACGAAGTCTAGCCTAAAATGATCTGCCTGAAAATTTCCAAGTTACAGATAGCTCATCTCTTACTATACAGAAGACCTACTCCCTCTTAACCAGCCCTTATGTGAGGTACACTATGAAACATGCAGGTAACAAGAGAGTAATCTCTTTCAATGATTAATCAAAGTGCTATAACATAATCCCACAGGGTATCTGTATCTCCCAGTATTAAAACATGCTTCTTTTAAGAACTAACTGTGATGTTCAGTGTTAGAATTGCAGTATTTGGGTCCATGCTGGGATGCTCTGAGTTCAGATACACAGTAGAAGGAGGTGGCTAGAGTAGTGGCAATTTTTGTTTAATGACTTTGCCTCTTCCATTCCAAAGCCTCAACCCCTCCCTGACAATATTATCAAAGGATACAAATGCTATGGAGGGAGGGTCCCTTGAAAGCAATACAACCAGAATATCACTAAGAAACCTAAATTCACATTTGCTTATTACATCACATAATCGCCATTCTTTTCAGTTACTCATGGATGAGTCCTAAGCTTATAGCACTTTAACATCAGCTAGAACACCAGAAGTTGTTGATACTGATTTAAACAACAAAAAATTCTGCTGGAATGCTTTCTGAAATTGCTAACATTTTCAAGATAATATAAGATACAACCAATGGATAAAACTTCCAAGTGACTTTTTTGATTCAGCATATTATTCAATAAAGTAGTAAAAGTCTAATGTAATAAATCCTATCAATATTCGAATCATGCCATTCTCCGTTTGGTTCAATCTTTAAAGCTATTTTTCTACTTACTCTTAACATAAAATAATACACTACCTCCAGGGGGCAATTTGCTTTTTAGCAGTACAAACGTTTTTATCATTTTCATAGACAAAGTCTGGACATGAGTCATCTCATTATGAAACATATTTTCAGTAGTATTCTACTTTTTATGTTTTTACCTGGGTTTAGAGTTCAACTCAAGTAATCCACACTAAAATTCTATTTATACAAAAGAATTTTTAACACTGTAAGGTTTACTATTTTTCTCTGGATTGCCTTACCAGAATCCAACAACAGAAATATTGCAATAGCACTATTTTAAAAGCCTTATATTTGAAATATGGAAACAAATCTTTATTTCTAGGACATGAACAAATGTGTAGAAGGAAAAATTCAAACTTTAACTGTATACATTTAATGAATAATAGGTACAGGCAGTACATTTCCTTTTCACATATAAAATTATGGCTTTAATTACTCATGTTTTTCTTGTAAACAGTTAAAAAAGTCCATAAGCTAGTGAAAGGCATTTAAAATGGATTAGGACTTTATGAACAGTATTTACTATGATGGATCCTTATGTTTGTGCTAAATAAAGTTCTCTGATAAAAAATTTTTGCTAAAAATAAAGCTTTTTCCTCACTAAACCTTACCTCAAATAGAATCTTGTATTTTAAATATAAACATTGTTAAGTACTAACCAAATCAATTTTTTAAAAAGCAGTAATCAATTCCTAGAAGTCAGGGTTTTGCAAAGCATACACTTGACTAATGACTTGTACCAGAACCACACAGGGCACTTATTAAAATTACAAAATCTGAAAAAAAAAAAAAAATACAAACTCTGAGGTCTATATCCCACATCAACTAAGTAAGAATATTTTGTCAATGATTAAACCTAGAAATTTACCTTTTTAACAATCACTGTCGAGATCCTTGAAACCAGAAAACTTAGGAACTGATAAATAAAGTTCCTCAAATATAAGCATGTTAGTAGCATAAGAAGAAATTCAAAGTAACATAAGAAATCTAATTCAAAGGGTCTGTGACCCCAACATCATTAGAAAAATATAGAAGATAAACACAGAGTTAGACCTAAGATCAGTTTTAAGAGAGAACTGCTTGTGACTGCCAGTGACTGTTAATCCTCTTTGCTTTCTTCTGGAATTTAGGGCCACTGTGGAGACATAACTAAAAAGGAAAAAAGGAACACTCTTCCATTATAAGGAATGTTGACCACTGTAAAATACAGTACTGTACTGCTACTTTGCAAACTTGCCTTTTTCATTATTTGTACAGATGATCCTTCAGGATTATTCTCTAATAGTAGATAACATCTGGCTACAAATATACTCACGTTGTTAACATGGTTTTCATAATACTTATGATCTTCAACAGTCCCAAATAAAGGGAAAATGGGGCACATAAACTGTTACCAAGAATTATACCAGCTAACTCAACAGGCCTCTTCACACATCTTCCTACTCCATCATAAACAACCACAGGTTGAGATACGTAGTAGCTTAGTAGTGTGAAGCTACACACTTGTCATTCATACTACTCTAAAAAACCGAGAGAAAAAAAATCCAAACTCAATCTAATTTACTCCCTGGAAATACAAAATAGGAATGAAGAAGGTAACTAAATTAATTAATTACTTATTTTTTTTTTTTAAAAAAAAGAAGGTAACCAAGACTACATTTCCCTAAATATTCGTTTTGCTTGGTCCTGTCCCTTGTTTTTATACAATGTTAGGGAAAACTCTGCTACCAAAATGGTTTATTTAAAACAGACATAATAAAAGGTAGAAGCTTTGTATTTAGTCTCCTTAAAGACATTGTATGATGTTTTCTTAAAAGTAAAATGGGTTAAGGGATCTTGGTAGTAACTGTTTTTTAAAGAGAAGACCTCTTTAAAATACATAATTGCAGTTACATGTACCCCTATTAGTTTATACCAGAATTATTTACAATAGCCAAGATATGGAAGCAGCCGAAGTGTCCATCCATAGATGAATGGATAAACAAGATATGCACGTGCATGTGTGTGTGTACAATGGAATACTATTCACCCATAAAAAGAATGAAATTTTGCCATTTGCAACAATACACATGGAGCTAGAGAGTATAACGCTAAGCGAAATAAGTCAGAGAAAAACAAGTACTATATGATGTCAGTTATATGTGGAATTCAAGAAACAAATGAGCAAAGGGAAAAAGAGAAAGAGATTGAGAGAGAGACAAACTAAGAAACTCTTAACTATAGAGAATTAATTGATGGGTTACCAGAGGGGAAGTGAGTGGGGGGACGGGTGAAATAAGTGATGGGGATTAAAGAGCAGACTTATCATGATAAGCACCGGGTGATGTATGTTATTGCTGAACCACTATATCGTACACCTGACATAAATATAACACTGTATGTTAACTAATTAGAATTAAAATAAAACTTTTAAAAAATGTATTTGTAGGAGTCATGTCTAACTGGGGGATCTATTAAATGTGTGGTATATGGACTATAAATATGATGGCAAATGACCAGAAGAGAATGAATGCATGGCTCTTTCACTTAAGGAACAAGGTAATAAAACACTTCCTGTGACAAACAGTAAAATATAAAACTGCCAAAACAAAGCTTAACAATAATAAATTTCTGCTATTGTACATAAAGAATATTATCTCAATTTTCTATTGAGTAGCCAAGAAGAATTTGATGAAGATGAAACAATATGATTATTTACTACATAAATGATACCTTTTCTGGAGGAAACAATGTATACTTACTTGGTAAGCTGCCCTTTGTTCTTGTTATTATCAACTCCATTATAAGTCACAGCTGCCAGTTTTCTGCTTCGGTAGTTCTCATAGTGTACATTATTAGTGACATCTTTCAAGTCCTGCATGTGTGTTCTGTCATAAATAAATAACAATAGTTTGTTTCCATGAAGAAAAGTAAATGAAAAACTGAGTTAAGAAGCAAAGTAAAACCATCTAGCAAAAGTGAACATTCATGCTTTAGGAAAGAAAAACAAATGCACTGCAGCAAACTGAACAACTAAATTTTTCCTTAAGTAAAATCACATAACCATCTACCTCAAGGAGCTGAAACCAAGGTCTTCATCATACTCACTGATAAAAATATTAAACAGGACCACTCCTAATCTCACAAACATCAGTGAATAACTATATTTATCCTAATCTACGTTAAAACATGTACTTCTACAAATCCTTTATCTGGCCGACTCCATGAAATATACCACTTACTATGAATTCCTTTAATACATCTAGGTATTCATTTTATGGCACATCTGCTTTATATTATATAACTTCAGAATTTTTATATTTTCATATATATATGACTCTCTTATAGATTTCTTATGTTCAATCTTCCTGCAGGAATGGTCCATTTGCTTTGTAATCCTTTTATACTAGTGAGTCCCACTCACCAGCTGCCAGGCTATGCACCTCCAAATGTTCAAAGTCTAGTTTACCGTTCAGTATTTTAGCTATGCAGGCAATTACTGACAGCATATTTTAAAAATATACACGACAAAGTTATAGAATATTACTGTGTCAAGCATTGGGCAAACTACATAAGATATTTAAAATTAAGGAAAAGAATAAAATCAGAGAATGCACGGACAATATTTATAAAACATTCCCTACATATACACTGTCATACACAATTATATTTATTATTAGCTCTTTTGAAGTCACATCTTAAAAATGGAAGAGAAAGAGAACAGTTCATAATAGAAAATGAAATGCTATATATTCTAAAAGAGACAGATGACCTCCCTCTCATATGTATTTGTTCTTCTCTGTGAGGCCTGGCAACCCTAACTGCTGAAATCAACCCTATCATTTACTTTCTACCAAAATTCCCTGGTTAAAACCTCCTTTATTAAATAGCAATCTCTTTGATTTCAAATTTTACTCTGATATTTAGTGTTCTTCTTGAGGTAGCAGCTTGACTCACTTAAATTTCCCCCTTACTCATAAGAATAACCTTATTGTTCAAGTTACTGATTGTTCAATAACTTATAACTTTATTATTCAATAACTTCCAATTATCATCAATATGTATGTTAATACTTCCACATAAAGATATTCCTGTGTATTGGGAAACTGGAGGTTGAAGAGAATATGTGGTAAGGGCCTGGAGAAGCAAGCAAGATGGGGATGGAGCAAAGTGGGGAAGGGGTGTGAGGTGGAAAGAGAAAGGAGTTTATCTAAACATGAAAACACTGAGGTTCATTTCCTTGCCCTTTGTTTCTTGCCCACTATTGTCTCTGGTTTCCTCTTTGATGTTTCTATTCCAATTCAAGTACTGGTCCTCTAATTAGGATTAGCACAATGTCCTACACTCTCATAGGCTTACCTTCTCTTTCAACAGCTGCACAAGGAACAATTTAGGAGTAACGTTTTCTTGCATAGGAAGAAGATCATGTTCCAGTACCAAAAACACCCTAGTCACCAGCTTGGTAAAGCTGTGCACCTTTTAACATTCAAAGTCTAGCTTTTGACTCAAAACCTACCCTTCCCTTCCAGTTTTCCCAAGTTTTTGACAAGAAAGAGCAAAAGCCTCTTCATTTCCTCTTTTAGTATTAACAATAAAGAGATTCATTCTCCCATACATCTCTAGCAACACAGCTTATTTTGTATTTTTGCTAACAACTTTAAAACCTTGGCAAAATAATCCAAGTTGTCTCCAAGCAGTACTTGAGTGCTAGAATGAAAATACCAATTTAAATTAGATATATTTATAGAAGGCAAAAAATAAAAATATTTTGAGAAAGAAAAAAACTTATTTTCATCATTGCTCAAACTTACCTTATCAACATATTTCTTAGAATTGTAAAATCACAATGTTCACCATTTTCAACTATTAAAAAAAAAAAAACACACAAACATACATTATTTCTACTAAGCCAAGTCTTTTCAAAGAAAATTTCACAGAATGCTGGAGGGTAACAATGAGAGAATATGCAAAATTTCATTAACTTTTCATTAGATCAACTTTTCATTGCAGTTTAAACACTGTAACACAGTAGTTAATTTAAGGGCATGCCAGACAAGTGTACTGTAATATTATTTGCTGTAGTTTAATCCTCAGTGATAAAATATATAAACCCAGTAAGTGAGCTCTACAAAAACAAACAATTCTGAAATTTTGAAAGAGGAGATCATGTATTCATTTGCAAGAGCATATATTTATTTCATAATAAAATGTATCTTAAAAGTTTAGTGTTGGGTAACCCGGGTGGTGCAGAGGTTTGGCACCGCCTGCAGCCTGGGGTGCGATCCTAGAGACCTGGGATCGAGCCCCACATCGGGTTCCCTGTGTGGAGCCTGCTTCTCCTTCTGCCTGTGTCTCTGCCTCTCTCTCTGTGTCTATGAATAAATAAATAAAATCTTAAAAAAAAAAAAAGTTTAGTGTTAAAAAAATAAAATAAATTTTTAAAAAATGTTTAGTGTTGGTGTGCAGGGGAAGCACTTTAGAAAAGCCACCTAAAGGTAGCCAAAATAAAAAGAGGAGCCAAAAACTTTAAAGTTCTTTATTTTTAAAAAAATGTACCGCTAATAAGAACATTCTGGTGAGGGTGGACTAAAACTACAGAAACAGCAATTTCATCAGCACAGATTTCCAAGGAATGTGTAAGTTCTAAAGCCTCAGCTCAGCAACTGAAGGTTACCGGGATAACAGAGAGCTAGGAACAAGTACAGTCTCTCAATAATAGGGAAAACTGTTGATAAGGACAATAACTTGGAACAATATCCTAAAAATTACAGAATTTTTCAAACTAATACCAACAAGTAGATAAAACACAATCATGACTCAATCTTGATTCCAAGTTGCCATAACAGAAGATTAAACAATAGGTCAAACCAATATCATAAATACAAATTTGGGGAAACAAGTCTATTGCCAAGAAGACTTCTGAGGTTTAATGCTATAAACTAAATTTTACTGGTATTTAAAACTCCTTACAAAATTAGTAGAATATCTCTTAATACTTAAAATTTGTTTGTTTGTTTGTTTACTCAAAAGATGCAATGCCAAAAAAAGATGACTTCTATGCTAATTTAAGGATATTATGAATGTTTTCATTTGAGTTAAAACGGAAGTTGTTCTCATTTTTGAGGGTCCTCAACCCATCTGAGACTCAGATAAAAATGAGAGTCCTTTTCTCTGAAATTATTTTCAATTTCAGAAGATTTATCACATCCCTTGGAAGAAACCTTTGGGCCCCAGGTAAAAAACTCTTGCACTAAGTACGTTTTCAAACAAGAAAACAGGAGTAGATTTAATGATAGAACGGAGATGGGAGAGTGGGGGTATTGACAAGTGATGTGGAAAGTATTACAATTAGGATTTAACACATACTTTCCAGATTTGGTAGAACACAAGGTCTGAAAAATCAGAATGAACTTATGAGCAAATGAACCTAAATGAAACTGAATTCAGAACTATCTGAAAATGTAGAATATATCAATGCGAAATACAAAATTTTTATCACATTTGTGAGATCTTATAGAAAGCCATTCAATGAGGAAAACCTTACCTTCAGCAACACCCCAAGGATACTGCCTTCCTCTGACCCTTTTGCCATTAACTTCAATGATCGTATTACTACCTACCACAGCAAGAGGTAAACGGTCCTACAAAACAAAGTATTCTTGTTCAAATATATTTCTGTAGTCCTCACAAATTCAAGAATAAAGAAGTTTACATTATTCAACACATTGAAAAAAAAAAACTACCATGACAGTTTATTTATTTACTTTTATAGGCCATTCGACTACTATTTATTATTAACATTGTCATTACATGGTATTCTCACCAATGTAAATAATAAATAAAATTGTAGTTTCTCTGAAAACTTAACAAAATTAAGGTATCTATACACCACTCATCAAATTATCTGTTAAAAAATCATCCCCAAAAGAAGCTGTCCCATATTGAAAAAATTAGAAAGGGTAAAAAATACACAAAGCAGTTAGAGGAAAAAAATGAGGCTTGTGACTAGCCTACCTATCTGATCACAAACCAATCCTAATAGCCCTGGAGGCAGGGAATATTATACATGCTAAACTCTATCTGTGTCCAGATCTGGGGGACTGGATTTGTATTTATCCAGACTAACTCAGAGTACAATCTTTCAAAATTCTTGTAGCTTCCAGAAATATTTAAGAATATATAAAATCTTATATATTAAATATATCTTATATTATTAAAAATCTTGTATATTAAATCTTATATATTAAATGGTCATATACACAAAATATATATATGACCATTTTATAAAACTGCAGAAATTCTTCATTGGTCAGGTACATGTATTTCATTATTCCAAGATAATTATTTGCTTAGATAAGGCCATTAATGAATACATCATCTTTAGGTTCAGGGTACTTAGGAAATGACCATAAATTTAAAATACAGAAAATTATGTTGGCATAGGTTTTGGTTGTTTTTTGTAGAAAGACAAAAGAAAATATATTTTTGTCTGGCTCTTAAACACAGACTATGCATAGCAGTACTTAGGAACAAATCCTCTCCCTTCTCATTACCTGTTTTCTAAGGAGGAAAATGACATAAAATCAGTTAACCGAAAATTGAAGACAAAGATTATACACAACTGAGTTTATGCTATTCATCTATTCCACACAATGTCTTGTTACATATTAACAGCCAATCAACATAGTTAGCAAAGTTGAATTCAACGCTGAATCCATACCTCCCTATTTTGTAAGCCAACTACTTAAAGACACTGATATTTTTTACCTTTTCAGTGGATAGTTGAGTGGTTTTAAGGCCCTAGAACATTTTAGTGTATGTATGGGAATAAACTTACCTTTATCTTTTTAACAAGCTTATTTTCTTCTTCATCATCTGTCTCTGGAAATTCATATATTTTAATTTTATGTTCTTGGATTTCTTTCATTATCTAAAATGAAAGAGGATGTTAGCAATAGAGCACCATATATAATTAGTACATTTATTTGTATTATATTCTTAAATTCCTGATTCCTCAGCTCCAATTCCTTCACTATTTTTGAGTAATGCAAAATTGAAATCTAAAAGCAAAGTACTACACTGATTTTTTTTAAGTATAAAGTTGATATATAAATACCATTCCCAAAAATCCAATTGCTTCAGAAGTAATAAACTTACATGGTTATTATACCAAGAGAGATGTAAAACTGAATGCAACATTACAGAAAGGGCTTTCTCTAGTTGATTTCTACTATAATGGTTTTACATCATTTATTTACAATGACTGAGGTTCTTTCTCTACCTATAACTCTCACCAACTGTTTTATTCAACTGAATCAACATAGCTTCAACTCACCTAAATTTTAATAAAATTTGACTAAGTACAGCACACTGGTTCCAGGAGAAAAATTTGTACTTTGATCAGAAAATGTCCTTGCATATACATTTGTGTATAATGTTCAGCTACCTACCCTATTCAAACTCACAAGAAACCAATGGCCAATACAGCTAGACTAAGTCCTTGCCTATACTGGCACTTTAACACAACCATCACTGTAGGGGTCCAGCAGCATAAAGGGGTCGCTAAGCAAAATGTGCTACATTGTTACTATAGTAGGTAGGGGTAACACTTCCACAGAGAAAAACAGGACTACACATTTTTTACAATTGGGATATGTATCTATATAGAGAAAAACATGAGAATAAATGATGAAGTGTCAAATACATGACTAGGAGGGAAAAAAAGGAACACTAGTGGCTAGCTCTAAGAGCAGTGGTTCAAAAGCCCCACCATAACCTATAAAACCAATTGGTATGGATACAGACCAAACTCACTTTCTCTCCTTTTCTTTATTTTTTTTTCAGAGAGTGAGCTAACAAGTAAATAGGGGTGGGGGTGGAGGAGTACCTTAAGGATGCACCAAGCCCAGGGAGAGCCCAATGCAGAACTCCATCTCATAACCCTGTGATCATGGCCTGAGCCAAAATCAAGAGTCGGGTGCTCAACCAACTGAGCCAACCCACGTGCCCCCAGCAACTCATTCTAAAAGATGATTTTGATAGGCATCCCACATAATTAAGAACAACTTTTTAAGCATATAAAAAAATATTGTACAATCACTACAATATGACCAATTTGGAAGTAGAAATACTAATTACTCATCTTTTTGATCTCTAAGTTCTTAGTACAATTCCATATCAAGGTACACACAAACCAAGACAGAAGGGGAGTTATGTTGGTACAGGTTTTGGCTATTTTTTATAAAAAGATAAAGAAAACACATTTTTGTCTGGGTCTTAAAGATTATGCATAGCAGTACTTAGAACACTCTCCCATCTCATTACCTGAAGTAATTGATTCGGAGAACAATCGGTATTTGAACTTAGAAAAAGCACATTACAAAATAAAAATGAGAGTGAATAAACATATTCTCCTAGTAGAAATAATACAGTAAAAAATGTGCTAAAATATTCCAAAATATACAGATTTAGCACAATTTGAAAGCAAATCTCAATAGATTTTGGGTTTTTTTGTTTTTTGTTTTTTAGATTTATTTATTTAAGAGAGAGAGAGCGTGCGCACGCACAAGTGAGCAGAGGGCAAGGGTGAGGGAATCTTCAAGCAGACTCCTTGCCAAGCACAGAGCCCGATGTGAGGCTCAATCCCAGGACCCTAAGATCATGATCTGAGCCAAAATCAAGAATTGGCCACTTAACCAACTAAGCCTCCCCAAGTCCCCACCCCCCATATTTCTGTTTTTGTAGTAGGTTTCAAGGTATTATAAAATTCATGTTGAAAAGAATGAAAAAACAAAGTATCTTGTTACAAAGGGGACTACAAAGACAGTAAGAGATAACTACTAACGCTAAGATTTATTTATTTATTTTTTTTTTTAAAGATTTTATTTATTTATTCATAGAGACACAGCTAGAGAGAGAGAGGCAGAGACACAGGCAGAGGGAGAAGCAGGCTCCATGCAAGGAGCCGGATGTGGGACCCGATCCCGGGTCTCCAGGATCACTCCCTGGGCTGCAGGTGGTGCTAAACCGCTGCGCCACTGGGGTTGCCCTATTTTTAAGTATTATACAAAGAATCTACAGTACAGAGCACCTGGGTGGTTCAGTTGCTCATTGGACTCTTAATGTCAGGATCATGAATTTAAGCCCCGCATTGGGCTCCATGCTGGGTATAGAGTCTACTTAAATAGCTGCAGTTTAAAAAATACAACATTGGCTTAAAATTAAAAATAGGCTATTGGTATAGAAGTATAGTTCCAGAAATTCATGCTACATACATTTCATAAAATATTATACATAACAAACCAAACACAAAAAGGAAAAAGTAAACCCGTTTTAAAAAAGTATTCAGTCTTTCTGGAAAATTAAAAAGTTAAGGAAATAATTAAGCGTCACTTAATTCCAAAAAAGAAGTTTTAAAAATAAAATGACAATGTTGGCAAGGCATTGAAAAAATACACCCATTACCAAAAAATCTGTTTTATTGGAAAAGTATCATGACAAAGTGGGGGAAAAAAAAAACTATAAAATAATCCTACACTTTTAAAAAGTAATCCTCTTCCTGGGAATTCAGTCTAAAAAAACAATTCTAAATGTTGTGGAGAGGAGTAGTGGTGGACGCTGTTAACAGAAACTTCTAAAAGAGTCTTATTTTAAACTGACAAAGGATAAGGGTACTATGATAATGGTAATGGATAAGAGCTCTGAGAAAACTAAAGCAGATGATTTTCAAGGGTTTTTTTTCCAAGAGTTATTTTTAATACAGTATAAATGACCACACAGTAAAGTAGCAAGAGAAATACATTGTAACACAGTAAACTGAAAAAACTGCAAAATACACAAGCGGTATAAGAAACCTGAGTTCCAGCTCCTTTTGCTCACCTGTTTTTTAAACTGTTGGCACTCCTCTGGAGTGAGTGTGTCTGCTTTGGCAATAAGTGGAATGATATTCACTTTTTCATGCAAACGCTTCATAAACTCAATATCCAATGGTTTAAGTCTGAAATACACAACATTTAATATGACTGAATTGATCAATTTGGGAGAATATATCACTTATATCCCCAGTGCTAAATTAAATATACTGGAACTACTTTACTTACTTATTAGGAATACTCTCTGAAGATTTATTGGGCCAGCAACAGTTAGGTAGAACAGGACCTCAATAAGCAGTGGAGTGGCTAAGAAGGCTTTGACTCTTGCCCTTGAACACCCTGGTCATAGGGTTTTGGCCCTAAAGAAGAATTAGAAAAACCAGAAAAGCTCCTAATAGGCTTTCCTAGAATAGCCTCTATACCTACTACTCAAAATTTGGAAATATGTTTTTAAATAAAATGATAGTCCTCTTTGAACCCCACATTCCATTCTTGCTGCCAACTTTATGTCTCAGATAAAAGGCTCAAAAGAGAATCTTCCTCACCATCCCTTTTACCCATTACAATCTGACTGCTGCTGCTGCCTTCACTCTGCTATTACACTTTTAAGAAGGTCATCAAATACTGCCGTTCTGCTAATACAATATATAAAAATAATGTGTTGTTGTTTATCATTACTTTTTAAATTTACCCATTATGCAGCATTTGACATTACTCTCATAAGCTGTTCCCTTAGGATACTTCTTAAGATCTCTGTAAGCTAGTCCCTTAAAAGTTACATTCCTCAGAGTACTCTACTAGGCCCTCTTCTCTCTTTACATTCAGTATGTTTATCTTCAACCATAGCGACTTCTATCATCCTCTAAAGGTTCAAATCGTCGCATCCAGCCCAGATCTCATTCTTACATTCCAGACTGTGTTCACCCGGTGGAAATACTACTTGGACATTCCATTTTAGCTTCTCAAAAATCAAAAGCTCATCTGAACCCCCAAGTCTTCCCTTCTCTTCTGTGGTATTTTTGAGGATGGTACTATAATCCATTCAATTACTTAAGGTTGAAATCCAAGGTTCCTCTTTCCTCTAATTCTCACTCCCAAAGATTTCCCAAGATCTGCTGAACAAATAAATATATTACTTTGGTTCAGGCCACTAGGACCTTTGGTATGGACAATTACTAGAATTCGTTTACCTCCAAACTATGCACACAATAGTCAGAAACATCTCTCTAAAATTCAAGTTTGAATGAGTCATTTCTCTAACTGAAAACCTTACTGATTCTTGGCAAGTATGGCTGATAAGGCCTGTGAAGACATAGCCTTTCTGGCTGTCGTCTATAGCATCCCTTAGCTTATTCTGCCATTTCTTACTTGTAATGTATCAGTCTTTTTGAACTTCTCATGATTCCTTGAAAGCACCATACTTTTTTTTTTTTAAAGATTTCTTCTATTTATTTATTAATGAGAGACACAGATAGAGAGGGAGAGGAAGAGACACAGGCAGAGGGAGAAGCAGGCTCCATGCAGGAAGCCTGATGTGGGACTCGATCCCAGGACCCTAGGATCATGCCCTGGGCCAAAGGCAGGCACCGAACCGCTAAAAATTAATATTCCACAAAAGTAAATGAAGATGATGGGAATATTTTACATAGAAATAACATTCTCAATTGATATTCCTTAACTTACAAAACATGAGAAAAATGGAATAAAGATCTAGTCTCATTATGAATTTTACTAGTATTATAAAATAAAGAGAAAGCCCTTGTTAGAGCTCTCTTAGAGTACTATAGTTAAATACACACACACACACACACACACACACACACACACACACACACACACACATATATAGACACGTGTGTGTATGTAAGAGGTTGGGAGGTCAAGGGCCCAGAGACTAAAGGGGTAATACTTTCGACTAACAAATAATAAATAATTCTATACCTCTTAGTTATAGTGATACTGACTGACAGAAAGACAGGGATATGGAGTAGGAAGGCAGGTGTGGAAAAGACATCTACATCCTATCCTAATTCTCCTTATCCTGAATCCACTGAAATGTAATATTGACATTCAGAAAATAGGGAACACTACAGAAAAGAGATTGTTGCTAGAATAACACTATTAACTGTAAATAGCACCCTTACTTCACAAGTGCTAACTAAAAAAACATACTCAACTTTGAAAAAAATTTAAGTTTTGCTTTTTTCATCAGTCATTACATACAACACTAAATATAACAGCCATGGCCCAATCTCAGATTTGTAAATTTTTATGGTTCACTTTCCAGATTATCCTCATGACAAATTTATCACAAATGCCATGTCATTAAACCAGTAACAGAATTCAGTTGATCTAAAATTTTAATACATTTTAAAAGCATTTAATATATTAAAATAAAAACCCAAGTTAGACAAAGTTTTACACTTAAAAGTAAAACAGCACTTGCTGAATATTTATCATCTCAACTTTTCAAGTGAAAGACACTAAAAACAACCATGACAAGGAAATTGGTAAAGTCAACTTCTTAAATATAACACAAGGCCGAAGAACATTTAAATCAGTTTAAAATTAAACTTTAGAAAAAACAGGTAAAACCTTTATAAAAGCCCTGATAAAACCCTTCTGCCCTTTTAAATTAGAATACAAATTTCAGAAGCTTACAAAATGTCAACAGCAGAAAACATTTAGTTCACATGTAGATTACATTCTGGTTGAAATTTTTCCTGTGTCCATTTAGTTTTATTTCAGGTCATCTTTTCCAAGAAATTTAGTTTTTAAATGTTGTTTTTAAACAATGGAAAGTTCTTTATAGAATTTCTAGAAGATAAACCCACATTAGAGGGAAAAGACTATTTAACCTCAAAGCCTACAGCAAGGGGCAGCCCTGGTGGCGCAGCGGTTTAGCGCCGCCTGCAGCCTGGGGCGTGGTCCTGGAGACCCGGGATCGAGTCCCACGTCGGGCTCCCTGCATGAAGCCTGCTTCTCCCTCTGCCTGTGTCTCTGCCTCTGTGTGTGTGTGTCTCACATTAATAAATAAATAAAATCTAAAAAAAAAAAAAAAAAAGCCTACAGCAAAATAAAATGACTATAGGGCAAATGACAAATACTTATAATATATACACATACATGTATTTCTAAAAGGAAAAACCTACATATAACTCACTGAATCACAGTGATATTTTTAAATGGCAATCAATATTTAAAAGGGTAAAAATATCATTTTAAAATTTAAGTTCCAAGTCAGTTTTTAATTTTAATAGCTATTACCAATCACTGAACAGAAAATGAAGCAACAATTCCTGAAGTCACAAATCAGTCCTTTGTTTAGCGATGACATGAGCTGGGGGTGAGGTAAGGGACACTGAAAATACAATGTTGGGCCAATTTATAATTACTCCAAAACAGAACCCCTCATAAAAAGGGAATCTAGAGACTACACAGAAAAGATAAAAAGGCCCCTGATTCATCTATTTGCCTAGAATTCCAGTTTGTAGGGAACAGGATATCAGGAACTCTCTATAAAAATTTCAGTGTTTTATTCTTTCACTTAATCCACAGTAACACATCAATGGGCAAAACTTTGTTCCATGCCTAAAAGTAGTTAAGATTCTCTGAGAAACTATTCAAAAGCACATTTTTATACCTAGAAAATAAAAATTTTGAACTCCTATTCCTCGTGACAAATAAGAAATGCCCCCAAAGCTACTACACATCATTTGAATAATTTTTTTAATGTTTTTTAATCTTATTTCCCATGCAATTTTAAGAAATATACTTTCCCCCAGGGATAGAAAGAATGTGATTTCATGAGAATTACTAAATCTTGGAGAGAGTCCAAAAGATCTAAAATAATAAAACTCGACATAAACTGACAAATTTCTATTGACTAAAGTGCAGATTAAGATTTTATTCTGTTGGCTTTCAGGAAAAAGCCTTAACAAGTTAACTCAGAATGATTTAAAACAAAACAAAACAAAACAAAAAAACAACAACACATAAATTCAGGAAGAAGCCTGCAGGTATTCATAATAGGCTATATAGTGTGTTGTGTGTTTGAGATTATTTTTTGAGCCTTTTAAGTAGATGGGTCAATTTTGCACATTAAAAATATATAAACTTTTAAGAACACTATAGAAGACTACTACAAATAAAAGAAGAAACATCTTCACCACTATAATCTGACAGTGCAAAAATGGTAAACTAAAATGAAGACTTTTTGCTCAACCACAATAACGATAACGATAGGCATTAGCCTATCTAAGAAAATGGTAGAGAAAGAAACAGAAAATAGAAGAGAAAGGTACTGTTATGAAGGAACTGGTTTAGACTACTGTAATCTGGGTGTGAGATGGTGTAATGCTATTTAAGTCTGATGCTATATAATATTCCAGTTCCTTTGAGTAGACAGTGGCTCTAATCATCAAGTGGCTTAGCTATGTGGAGTCATCTACTCAAAGAAAGACTGAAGAAGGGATCCCTGGGTGGCGCAGCGGTTTGGCGCCTGCCTTTGGCCCAGGGCGCGACTGGAGACCCGGGATCGAATCCCACATCAGGCTCCCGGTGCATGGAGCCTGCTTCTCCCTCTGCCTGTGTCTCTGCCTCTCTCTCTGTGTGTGTGTGATTATCATGAATTTAAAAAATAAAATAAAATCCAGACTTTAAAAAAAAAAAAGACTGAAGAAGAGAAAATACTTTTGCAGGTGACACTGACACATATCTACTCAAATGACAGAGGAAGTACAAACAATAAAAAAAAAAAAAAAGGAATAAGCCATACAAAATCAGATGAATGTCTAGATACTTACACCTGAACTCCTAATAAGTAAAGGTTAGTATGGATGATATGAAACTTAAATGACTGTGGTAACTATGGTAAAAAAAAGAGCCAAAGAAATAGTAAAAAAGATATTGCACATAGGTACTTAAGAACTTAGATACTTAACTTTTTTGGTAACCTTTTCCATTATATCCATAGTAAAAACATCTTTAGAGTTCCTTAGAATATGTCTAAGCTAATTGTTACAGCTGTTTCTCCTTATTTGGTAGTTCAATTTGTGGCAGAGAGGTCAAAAGGAAGCTAAAAGTAGACACACTTGAGACATTAAACCATGATGGAAACACTGTTCCTTACAATGAAGCAGGTAAAAAGCCTTATGTGTGAACTAAAGTAAAATTACAGTTAGCTTACCTCGGACCTAAAGAGTGTTTGTTATAAGCCATTTTATATAGAATTTGGAATTTTACAACTGGTGTAGTTAAATGTACTCCACAAAGTTATATATGGATTACTAAAACATGCATCCAAAGTTCAGTAATAATAAGCAACAGCAGGTTATCAGAAGTATCAAGGTACTGACCCATGTCCTGAAGGAGCAATGAAGTATAAACAACACTGCACCCTGTTATCAGGCATCTGACGTCTGTTCACTCGAGATTCTGCATTTAAGTAGTCCTCAAATTTACTATCAATGTAGTCAATAACAGGCTGCCAGCTATAGAAAGCAGATAAATAAAATAATTAAGTTGCAATTCTACATATGAATGTACAACTGATGACTATTAAAGTGGAGTAATTAGTATTTTTAAATAGGTAAAACTAATCAAACCAGTGGAAGATAACTCAAATTATTCTATATATACTGATTTAAGCATTAGTTACACTGAATAAATCAATTATTTCTAAATTTTCCGAATGAAAGAAAATTCTATAGAGTCAAAGTACAACCAAATTATCATATTATTTGCATTGATAAGTATAGTTTTATATTTCAAATGAAAAGATTAAATACAAAAAAACTCACAATGAACTTACTTAGCTCTTTTAAAAGCTAACACGGAAATGTACTTCAAAAATAATGTGAAAAGAAAATTTAAATATTTTTTATAAGACACTAAGAAAAACTTAAATATTTTTTATAAGATACTAAGGTATTATTTCCAAATAGAATGTCATGGCTGTTTTCTTAAATTTTATGACTTACAAAAAAACTGAACATTCAAAATTAGGTTTAAATTAGGATGTGGTAGAAAATAATATACACAAGTGGAGAAAATTATAGTAGAAAATGAAAAGTTTTAACTTCCTTATGAGAATTCTTATATATCTGTTGTTTTAGAATTTGTCTTCAAAAAAAAAAAAAAAGAATTTGTCTTCAAAATAATTCTGTAATAGTAGTATTATCTCCATTTTATAGAAAAGGAACTCAGTTCAGAAAAGTTCAACATTGTCAAATAAGTGGCAAAACTGGTATAAAAACTCAAATCATATCACTTAAAAGTTCAGTGACTTTTGCTAAAATGAAAAGTTTAAAAATCTTAAGCAGAAAAATTCTAACGACCAATACCCCAAATGCAATGTAAAGCAGTGATGACAACCCTTCTTACCAATTACTATTATCCACTGCATCTCCAAATCCCGGGGTATCAACTATTGTGAGCAGCAACTGAACACCACCTTCTTTGATTAAAACCTTGGATTGTTCCACCTATAAGAGTCATTGGTACAGATATTAATACTATACATTACATCTGTGGTTTCCTACAAGGTAAGAGACAGGGAGATGAGCATTGAATCCAACTGGGTAAGTTTTTGCAAACAAAATACCCACCCCTACATTTTCTTTAGAATCAATTATTGTGGATGTCAACAGTCCTGGTCACTTGAAAGAAAGGCACATATATAAATAGTGAGTTTATGGCTTATAGTTGACATAAAGAAGGAAAACAGGAACTAATAAAATAGTAACAGTGACTAAAGCCATATAATACCCATATGATCTAAATGCGTATCTAATAATACAAATAAACAATGTACTTGAATGATTTGGTAATTCATAGAAATCAAATTCAATTAACCAGATGAGTACATCTAATGTACCATTTACAGTAAATGTCTTCCTGGACTATCTCCAATGAGTATGGTCCAAATCAATTACTCAAGTTAACTTATTATCATTCCCAAACCTTTTTCAGCATGGCCATAATTATTTACACTTGTGTTTGTATATGGCTAAGATTCAATTCTCTTCTCAAATATTATGCTGCACATTTAGAACAAAGCAATCAGCAAAGGTACTGGCACTGAAAAAAAAAAGAAAAAACAAAAAAAAACAAAAACAAAATCCTAGAACTCTGATTAAAATCTCTCTACAATTTGTAAAAATACTCTTTTTGAGAAAGGGTATTTGGACTTAAACAATGCCAACAGTTCCTCCTACAATCTAAGATTTTTTGTAACCCCAAGTTCTGTATCAGAACAGATAACTCATTCATCTTGGGCATATGCTGCTGCTAAATAAACAGATTCAAACATAAAAGGGAAATAATTGTCCCCCAGAAAAACACAGGCTTTCACTCAATGTACATTTATATCAAGGGCTTCCTAAGACTAGAACTAGAAGCTCTAGGTACATGGACAGGCTAACTTAAGAGAGAAGAATTAGACTCAAATTTTGAGTGTTAATTGCTGTAAGATGTTATGAATTAAGTAATACAAGACTTAAGGGGAAAATGTAATCATCAACATGTGAAAAGCAACTTCCAACTATTTGTTTTGGAAAGGAAAAGTGACTAGTTTCTAGGTAGAAAAAGTTGGGTGTTATAGAAATGATGTCTTTCCACTTTCCTATGGCATTTTTTTTTTTTTACAAAGGCTAGCTCACATGAAGAGACTAACTCACTGAGACTAAGACTGTTGAGCAAGAAAGTCTGTAGCAGCGCCGTTCAAAAGAACCTTTTGAGATGATGCAAATGCTCTGTATCTGCACTGTCCAATATGGTAGATGCTTGCCCACGTGGCTACTTAGCCCTTGAAATGTGAAGAACTGAATATTTATTTACTTTGAATTAACTTATATTTAAATAGCCACAGGTGGTTTGGTGACACTGGACAATGCAGATAATATAGCAATAAAAAGTTATTTTGTTTAAAAAATGATATAAAAAAATCTTGCTAAAATTGAAAACACTACCTAAGATTTGGACATGTATGTCCATGGAGGGACTTCTAAACTTTTAGACAAATAAGAGGCAAAGGTCTTATCTCTTAGACCAATGGTCTTTTCACGGCTTTAATCCTGGTGTAAACTATCAGTGGAAATTTTGAATGTCCCAAATATATTTATTTGTATCTACCAAATATATACAATTGGAAATTTGTTAAAAGTATTAATACTATTAATTCTATATAGATTAAAAAAGTAAATGTCAATAAATAGGGTTCTTAATATTTTCTGGCCATTTTCAGTATCAACATGATGTGCATTGCTTAGAAGACGACTGTTTCACACCACATAGCTAGCTGTGATACCATGTTTCTCTCATAATATGAGGAAGGCAAAATGAAGACATAATCAGACTTATCAGTGTTAGATTTTCAAAACCAAAAAAAAAGCGGTATTATGTCATGAGTCTTACAAAGTTCATATTTTATATATCTGGTTGTCCTCTAGTCAAAGGACAATCTAGTTATTTGCCATTATATATATTTTTTTAATGGACAATCTCCAACATCTCAACAGATCTTTAATTTGCTTCCATCTCCTTCATAAAGACAGGTTATTCATTTATGATAACGGTCACTGAAGCAGTTACTAATAATGAGCAGTTACTAATTAGCAGTTACTAATAATTCTTTTAATGACACAGTACTCTATATTAGAAACTGATGCAAAACATAATTGTTCCTCATAAATCCTCTCCCAATTTTATTCCAAACCATTTCTGGTTCCCTTATTACTAAGCAAAGCCCATGTCTATCTTCAATAACAGGCTGTATACTAATCACACACCATACCAGCTTAAATTTTAAGATCTTTGTTTGTTTTGTGTTTATAATCAGTTTAACAACTTAACTGTTTACTGACATAAGAAAAATTAAGATCTGTATTTTAAATACTTTAAGAGTCTGTTTATAAAAGGTCTTTTCTGGCCTATGAAATTCTATGTATCCATACATGGTCAAATAGAAAGAAGAAGGCAACATATGGAAGAGATCCAGAAAACTTAACTGTAAACTAGTGCCATTCACAGTATCCAACTGTATCCTATCATCTGGTTTTGCATGTATCCTCATGGGATCCATGGAAAACAAATTAGTTCAAGTCCAGGAATTTCAAACTTTTCTTAAGAAATCTATTCCAAATGGCCACTTTCCCATGCACTCTGCTTAAGCAGGTCACATCAGCATATTTTATGGCATCACTCAAAGCTCTCTAAGATTAAATGCATAATTTAATACTGAAGGAATGAATCAAGGGAATTTTCAATTATGCTTCTCTCTGAAAAATAAAACTAAAGCCCATTATATTGTTTATGTATAATTAATTTACTGAAGCCTCTTTTGGATTCCTAGTCTAAGGCACTCTTTTTTCTAATACTGTTTCATTTTCCAATCTGAGAAAAAAGTCAAACCTTCAGTTTTTCCACAGCTTCATTTCTTTCATTTTCAAAAGACTGTTAAATAGAAGTTTTATAACCTAATGTTTAAGAGCTATTTGTTAAGGTAAGTAGCAAGTGTTACTTAATTAACCGTATCAAATTTCCGGGAGAGGGTTAAAATTTTCCATTAGGAGCTTACCTCTCTACTCAAACTTGTTTAGGAGGTGGCATTACAGTCAAAGCTCTGCAGGGACTTGGAACAACAGACCTGAGATATTCCATTTACCTCAAACACAAAAACTATCTGATTTAATGCCTGAAAAGATATTATCTTATATACTTCATTATGTTCCACAAGAAACTAAGAGGTAATGACCAATAGTAGAATAGTTATACCTTAAGATTATTTCCTTCTCATCAAGACTCTAACCAGGTTAAGTAAGAAAGTTGATCCAAAGATTTGAATTCTGCCTTCTACTCTGAATCACTGCACCTCTGGGCACCTGGGTGGTTCATTAGTTAAGCATCCAACTCTTGATTTCAAGCTCAAGTCATAATCTCAAGGTCCTGAGACTGAGCCCCGCATTGGGCTCCATGCTCAATTTGGAGTCCACTTGAGATTCTCTCCCTCCTCCCCTGTCCCCTGCTCCTGCTCTCTCAAACAAATAAATCTTTAAAAGGGGGGGAGGGAGGAGCAAAAAAATCACTACATTCATTTCCTTTGCCTCCTCATACTGAGATCCTAAGTTCCTTGTCCCTTTCATTTTTTCTATTAGCAACCCTCCTCCTAAACCCTTTATCTTTTTTTTCCAGCTCAGATATTTCTGTTCCACAACATGCACAAACTTCAATTTGAAAGGAATTTTCCTGCTATCCAATAATCCCTCTTATGTGCTCAATAGTCTCATGCCTCTCTCATTTCCCAGTATGGCTCCTCTCTAGTTCTACTCTATTATCTCTGTCACCATGCTCAGGAAAAAAATCTCATCTTTACTTGAAGACAAGAACATCCTCAATGTTTTTGAAGCAACAGTCTTTCCTTCTGTTCAGATCCCGTTCCTTCTAAGGCTAATTTCTCAGTCTACACCAGGAATCTGATTATTCCATTTTAGAATTGTCTTGACAACTGCTTAGACTACTTCCTCTTTATTTTCAACCTCTCATCTCTTAGGGATTGATTCCGCATAGGATATAAACGTTCTCAGGTCTTTTTTAGAAATAAAATCCAAAGGACTCTCTGAGTACCCTACACTAAACGTCTAGGTATTCACATTTGTCCTTTCCTCCATAGTCATGCTTATCATCAGTGCCTCATTTACTACTCAATTCTCACACTACTACTTCTCATCTTGCTCTCCATTCCTACTACTTCACCAGAATCTACTCTGCTAAGCTAATCTATAGCAGCTTAGAGCAGCATATTCTCTCATTACATCCTATTTGCTATATCCTTCACATGATTGGTTTAAGAACTTTGTGTCTATCATCACTGTAGCCCCAAAACCTGGCATAAGAATTCAAATGTCTGTTCTATAAATGGTTCAAAAAACTATCAATATTGGACCAACATCAACAAGAAAGTTTCCCTTTTTTCAAAAAAATATTTATTTATTCATGAGAGACACAGAAAGGCAGAGATATAGGCAGAGGGAGAAGCAGGCTCCCTGCAGGGAGCTTTATGTGAGACTCGATTCCAGGACCCAGGGGTGTCGACCTGAGCTAAAGGCAGACACTCAACCACTCAACTAACTACCCAGGTGCCCCAAAAGAGAGTTTCCTAACTGGGCTTTATAAAAAGGTCTCGGGGATCCCTGGGTGGCGCAGCGGTTTGGCGCCTGCCTTTGGCCCAGGGCACGATCGTGAAGACCCGGGATCGAATCCCACGTCGGGCTCCCGGTGCATGGAGCCTGCTTCTCCCTCTGCCTGTGTCTCTGCCTCTCTCCTCTCTCTCTCTCTGTGACTATCATAAATAAATAAAAATTTATTTTAAATAAATAAATAAATAAATAAATAAATAAATAAATAAATAAATAAAAATAAAAAGGTCTCAAGGAGTCAATAAAATATTATCCTAGGGATAGGATTCGTTGCTTTCACCATGTCTCAC